AGGTGGTTATCAACCTTGGCTGCACATCAGAATCATTTGTAAAGCTTTTTCCTTTTTAAAAGTAAAGCAATATATACACAGGTAAAAAATAAAATAGTACAGAAGGGCTTATAATGAGAAGCAGCAGTTTCCTGCTTGCACCCCCACATCCAAAGGATGTGGAGCTCTTTAAAAATCAATTGCTGTGGTCCTGCCTCTGGAAATCTGATTCAGTAGGCATGGATGGCAACCCAGATACCTAACCCCTTATACCTCACAGTATAAAAAGGATTACATGAGACGCCTTGGGCTAAGGCCCTGGCACACAGGAACACATATGGTACAAAGGAGCTTTGGGGACTTAAGTCCTGAGGATCCAGGAGGTGAGGTGACTTGTCTAAGATTCCACTGGTTTAGTGGAAGAGCCTAGATTTCCAGTTGGATCTATTTAGTGCTTGCCCCCTGCTCTCTCCTGTTGTACTCCACCACCTCCTGTCATCACAGGGCAACCCTTGTCAGTGAACGGTGTGCTTGCAGGAGGCCGCACACCACAGTGTGTTTCCAAGAGCAAGCTGGATCCGAGTAGATTCCCTAGGGCTTGTTGGAGAAACTAGTTTGACTCCCTTATACTGTGGACACAGTAGCCTTGCTCTGGGGAGTTGAAGAGTACTCCACAACAGTATCTAAGTTTAATTGGGCACTTCCCTCTGGAAATCACAGTGTTGCGCACCAGGAACACAAAGATGAGTCAAATCTTTATCCTGCCTTTGAGGAGCTTTCTAGTTGGGGAAGCAATTTGTAAAATGGCCATTAACTATACAGTGTGATCAATACTCTGACAGGAGCACAGGAGAAACGTCTAGCTTATGTGAAGATTCAGGGAAGGCATCCTCTAGTCTAGGTGGTGACACCTGAACTGAGTCTTGAGAGACTGGTAGGAATTACCCAGTTGAGGAAGTGGAAGGAATTTCCAGATATTGGAAACAATATGCATGAAGACATGAAGGCAAGAAACTGCAAAGCAATCAAATACTGAAGAGTGAAGATTCCTGGGGTGGGGGAAAAGCAGCAAGAAAAGGTAGAGAGGAGCCAGACTGGAAGAGGGTCATAAATGCACGGCTACAGAATTGAGATTTGTCTTGTAGGACAGTGTGGTTCCCAAACTGGCTGTATGCCACGAGCACATGGGGCATTCTGGGCCCCGACCTCTAAAAATTCATTAAGTCTGGGGTGAGGGCTTGAAATCTTGAATGCTTATAAAGGTTACCACATGACTAGGGTACAGCCAAATTTAGAAACCATAGCTTGAAGGCAGTGAGGATGCCATGAGATGGTTTTTAATAGGGTGTCTCCAGATCAGATGTGAACTTAACCTGTTTCTAGCTGGCTAGCCAACCAGCATAGAAACAGGTTAGGTTAGATGTTCATGCTGTATGTGCCCCTGCCTGTAGCTTCCCTGTTAATCAGCTTCTTACGCTACTATATTTGCTTGTGTTGTCTCTGAATAAGCTTTAGGCACCACAAGGGTGGGCCTTGGGATATTTTGCTTACCAGTAAAGCCCCTGCAAAAAAGCACAGTGCCTGACACAAAACAGGCACCAGTAAAGTTTTTGAATGAATGAATGCATGAGTGAATGCATTTGTGAGAAAACGAATGGAGACGGGTAGATTAATTACACTGTGGAAAAAACCAGGAGGCCTGCACTAGGGCAAAGGCCAGTAGGAATAGAATGGAGGTGTTAAAGTGTGAACTGTTAAGGGAAGATGATAAACTGGACTTAATGACTGATTACTGGATGTGGAGGGTGACTGAGAGGATAGAATGAGTACCCATGAATAGTCAGGATTCCTACCCTATCCCAGTCATCTCTTTCCTTATCCATCTCTGAAACAGAATCTCCTTACATCCTCCTCAGCAATTGGAATTCCTCCCTCAAGTTAGTTAGACATTCTGTGTGCTGTGTGGTCTCTCACTGCCCCTCCCCCCCTCCACAAGCCATTGATTCATTCATCTAGTTCAATAAATCTTGGCTAAGCACCTCCAGTGTGCAGTAAGGCTCTTCCAAGCCAGGACTCTACTCTCTCTTTCCTACCTCACATGTTTTTGAGGGCTTTCCCAGTTAAGAGTCACATCTCTTATACAATAACTTATAGTGAGACACCCAGAATGTCAGACCTTTAAAGGAAGACTGCCCAAACCCCTTCTGAGGTCCTCGGAGGGGAATTAACTTCCTAAGGTCCCACTGCTAGGAAGCATTGGAGCCAGAAATGGAACCTAGGTTTCCTTTCTATGTCATCTCTAGAGTCTTGATCTTGATCTATCCCATTGTAAATCAGGACAGGCAGAGGTAGTCAGGGAGAAGGTGAGACTTAGATTCAACCTTGAAGGTCGATGTATTGGACAGTCCGAACAAGATGCTTGCCAATTACCCTGCCCCCTCTGGAAACCGTCAGCAAACCTGCCATTCCTGCAGTCCCTTCTAAGGGGTTTCTTTAGCATAAGTTGCAATGCCCTGTACCATGTGACCTCACAGTCCTGGCCACAGATAGCTAGATGGGGATAGTGTCTGACTCAAGGGCAGCCAAGCTCTAGGCTGGCCAGCAGCCTATTAACTGGACTGGCATAAGGACTCTACCTTACAGGGTGGCATGTATCAAATGGCAAATACATGAAACAACCGGATCTTTCAAGGAGGCTGAATATGAGGTGTTCAGAAAAAGTGAACAGTTAATTAGACCTTAATGAGGCATAAGTAAGTGGTGGTGGATGAGGGGCAGCCAGAAAACTAAACAGCAAAAGCAAAGAGAAAGCTGCAGAAACCATAAATAAGCAGAGGTCATGAGACATTTGTATAATGAGATCATGGGGCCACAGGGTGGCAGAAGCCATGAAGCAGCAAGGCAACAATGGGCTAAAAGGACACAGAAGCCATGAAGCAATAGGAGCCACGAGGAACAGAAACCATGAGACAAAACTGACTATGAGATTGACAAAGCACCAGAAGGCTTGAATAGATAAATGAGACAGTAGAAGTGATGAGACTGCAAGAACCTCAAGGTAGCCAGAACCACGTGGCAACATGGCAACAGGAATGGAGGAGGCAGCAGGAGCTACAGTGCAGAAAAGCCGTGGATTAATAGGAACTGAAGCCCCAGGAGCCATGAAGCCGCAGGACCCAGGAGGCAGCAAAAGCCATGGGCTAGCATCGAGGGGGGCAGAAAGAAGTTAGTCAGTAGCAGTAGGAGGAGTATAAATACAGCCAGAAAGGAGTTGAGTCACCAATTTGGGAAGCACTAGAGAAGGGAGCAACAGATGCCTGCAGCTGAGGGGGTGACAAGAT